TGTTAAAAAATTTTCTGCAAAGATTTTGAAGGTGAAACAACATGAAGTGCAGCCTGAATACCTTGCTGGATGAATATCTGGTATTGAAACAGGACGGAGTTGGTCACTATCTGAAAGTGAATTGCAATTGCTATGGATCCAAGGATATATAGTCCACTCTCCTGCAGTCCCAGTCCTAATACAATAAGAAAGAGAGAAAGTGAATCTTTTGCAGATTACCTTGCATCACTGTCAGGATGATAGATATAATAAGATTAGCAAGAAATTGTTAAAAAGTTCTTACTGGTTAAGAATAAAACTTGAGCATATCATCATGTAGTATGAAAATTCATTTCCCTGGCTAACAAAACCTTCATTATCATATGATAAGTGTTAGGCTCAACCTAAAGTTGCCAAGGTAGAATTTGTAAGAACTTCGCATCTTTAATACATACCCAGACATGAAATCTCCAAGGCCAGACGTCCAAGACCAGCACCAGGAACTAAACAAGTAGGAGGACTGTACAATGAAATTTATGGTTTATAGTAGAAAAAACATTATTCCCACAAGAGAGTATACATCATTCTCTATTTCACAGTCGCCAAGCATGAAATTGCATTCCCAAAATGAAAAACACAATACAAGGAAATTATGTACCTCTTGTTGGAACGATCAGGGAATAAAGAATTGAGCTCTTCGAGAATAGGCTTGTAGCACTGATCACGTTCTCTCTGTCCCTGCATCAGTGTAGGAATGAGGGAACATGTAAGCCTTGGCTCAAAAATCATAGATGACGAGTTAGAAACAGTAAAGCAATGAAGCATCATTACCTCTGCTGCCCAGTCTCTTACTATGTTCCTTATTATACAACGGACCTATGAAATGACCGAAAAATGGCAGCATTAATTTATAACCATAAAGTTTCCACAAACAACACATCAAAGGCATCTTGTTTGTGCGAGATGCAATTTTCTTTCTTCATATTTCCCATCCATTATATGCTAAAGACATGAAAAATGCATCAGTTTTTGCTCATCATTATCAATCAAGAATCCATCTTGATTCCCCCAAACAATAATTTCCAATGTTGAAATGTTCTGACCCAAATTTGCAGATTCATCAAACCAGTATAGGGTAAGAAACAGTGACCTTGGGCAGCCATGTCAATTACATGTGACCTCATTAAAATTTGAATCAAGATAGAAAATTTCATTGATTTCTCACACATTTTACCAAATAGAAGTAGCAAAGCTCATAAAGCTTGCTTCTACAACAAGATAGCCAAATACCTTATCAACATCAACCATTGGAACACGCAACTGAAGTGATGGATCCAGCCAATCATGATGTGATGACGGGACCTGAATGTACATTGTAATGTGCAAGAAAGTAAATTTTGGCACATGGCACGAGAAAAAAAAAAAAGATGACTTAAAGAGAAATTCTGTGCAAGAAATCCATTCCTAATTCTAGCAGCAAGCAGAAAGTAATTATAAACAAAGGAGGAAAGAAACTTGGTGATAAAATTACACAAACTAAACACCATTACATTTCCATTGGAATCAGAAACATGATTTCTACAGCATTCAGATGTCATTTTGTAATTTTCCCGCCCTTGCAGACAGCTCCCAGTATCAGACCCAAGACAACCTTCAGTGTGCACCTCCTGTTGTTATCTACAGAAGTCAAACTTCTGAATGAAAAGACATAAAATTGGAATCAACCAAAATTTGCACTTTAGACAGTCATTATGCAAAACATCACATGGCCATCTAGCAGAGACCTCGTTGGCAGTCAAACAATCTGCTGGTTTGCTCATCATATTGCTTGGTTCTCCACAACAAGCTTCATCAGGTTTGGAACAACAAGTTCCACTAGCTGCGGCAGACTCATGAGAGCAAACATTCATGTCATTTGGAGGCTGTTCAAAGTGCGAGCAACCACAATCGTCGACATCGTTGCTCATATCTAGGGGTGGTTCAAATGCCTGAAAAGTGATTGCCAATCATAGTAAATAAATTGAATAAAACTTTATTTTTTTTCTTGAAGATCAAAGAATATTGCAGAATTAATATAAAATGAAAGGAGATGTGAGAAATAAAGTAAATAAAAAGAGATAATCAATAAAGAAAACACAGAACTCAACTCACCTGAAGCATATTAATTATGAAAAACGAATTTACAGAAATACACCTGCAGATAGAAGAAGAAAAGGCAAAATTGTTCACAAACTCCAACATTATACCAACTCAATACTACTTTTCTGTAGTCAAGGCAAAGACTCTCTGCAGTCATGTGCCTGTGTGTACTTGTGGAATTTAGAGCATGCAATAGCATAGCGGCCCCTTCCTTCCTCTCGGAAAATTACCTTCTTAGACTTTGAAACTTCAAAGGGTAGTGTGACAACAAAGCCTGCGAAACAAAAATTATGAAAGACAAACAAATCACATTTTATCAAGAATGAATTACCATAACAGGAGTGTATAATCCATCCTTTTTCTGGCATATAATAAAACCGGAAATATTAAATGTTCGACGTAAATTTCAAAAATTCCTAAAGTCCACTTTAATCACATCAAACTAAGAAATTCAACTTTCGCAAAATTACATACAAGAATTCATTTCTATTTACCTTAAAAAATCTAGAATTTAGAGCACATCTACTCACAATTCAGCAATTCTTTTACTTTAAAAATAATCAATCAATCACATGCAGTAAGAGAGCTGCTAGTTTCAGTGACTTCAAGTCAATGCAGCTGGTGGGGTAATGAGCGACTTCACTTTAATCACATTAAAATATTCAGTAACACAAAATTAAGTACTTTAAAAACTTAGAATTCATCATCTCCAACTCAAAATTCAGCAACTCTTTATTCAAATCACATAACTTTACTCAAATCTTTCAAGATCTCAAGAAAACATATAAAAAATTCATTGAAGAAGAAAACCCACTTTGTGAGAAGAAGAAAGCTTCCTATAAGATCTTTCATATCTTTTAACATCCTCTTCTGCAGCCTCTGGATAACTAAACACAAAAAAACAAATCAAAACACAAAAAAAGGAGGAAATTAAGGGAGGAAAGGCCAGGCAATAAAATTACTTGAGGTAAGCACTGATTATGCGCCGAAGAGATTTGACTTCAAGGGCTTCTTCAAGTTTTCTTTGACGAAGTCGTTCTTCATCTTCTTCTTCTCCTTGAGGAGGCTTCATCATTTTTCTACTTTTTCCTCTTTCGGGGTTTTGCGTCTTTGGTGTTACAAGTGAAGTGCTTACAAGGAGTGGAAAAGTAACTTTATGTGTTTATAAAGTGGCAGTTTTTGTTGATGTGGTAATCATGGGCTCAGTGATTTGTTATTGTGGGCTTTAATGTTTGGGTTTATTATCATTATTATTATTATTATTATTATGTTTTTGAATCACAAATAAATTAATTATTTTTATCAAAATAATATTATTTTATTTATATTTCTTTTATTAATACATTTTTTATTTATCTTAGCAAATAAAAGATTTTTTATTGAAATATTATTTTTATTAAAAAAATATTTTTTAATTGGTAAAGTAATTTTTCCACAAAAATTACAATAATATGTTCATATTCTATATTTAATTTAAATTTAAAAATATTATAAATGTGATAAAATCATGTTAAAAATATATTTAAAAAAAAAATTAAATTGAATTTTCATGAAAAAACATTATTAGTATTGTTATTTTTATATCAAATATATAATAATTAAAAAACAATGTTCTTCGAATACCATAAAATTCTATGGTTTCAACCCCTTTCATTACATTTAAAAAAGAGTCATAATTTTTAAATTATAACCATATCAAAACAGGAATCAGAGAAGGGAAAGGATTTGGAAACATTACAAATGGCTCCTCCTCTCAAGAATCAAAGCTACACTAGAGTACTTTTATACACTTGCAAATCCACTGAGATTTCTCTTATTCAACAACATGGTAATCATCGAATTGTGAATTGAGGTTGTTTTCCCCTACAATTATCTCAGCCATTATCATTGTCTATATGGGGAGATCGCTTCAGCCCTCTTCTTTCTCTTTTGCAAGAACCTTTGGAGAGATCTTTTCAATGAAAGACCAGGAGGGCTATAGAGCTGAGAATGCAGAGGTTTCGGTGCTTGGTTGGATCTTGCAGTGTTACTTCTCTCTTCCTCTTCCCGACTTGCTAGCCATATTATTGCTCTAGCCTACATACGGTGGAAATCACGGGTTAGCTAGTAGATGTTAAACTCTTTGAACCATCCATGATCTTGTTCTTGTAATGTTAATTTATTTTCGAGGAGGAGGATTGCGATTGATCCTTGTATTCTGGCCTCGAGGCAGATAGAGAAAGCTCACATGGCTTATTGTGCTCTGTTCCTCTGTCTCCAATCTGGGGCAAACCTTGTGCATGACCTCAGTTCTTAGGCTAAAATATCTTAAAATTGCAAGCTCTTTCTTGCAAGCTTCCAAAACTAGAAATTATGCACTTTTGGGAGTTTCTAATCAGAAACCAGATGGAAAAAAAACTTATTTCTTTCCTTCAATCCCTCCAAAGAGGTTTTATAATACTCAAAAAACAAATATAAATAGTTACTTCTTGGATTTATATTTTAAAAAAATAACGAAGAAAAACAAATCAAATATAATATCCATGTAAAGCCCCTTATGATCGCAAAATCTTATTTCTCTTGTCAATGGCTAACAATTGTAATAATTTGATTTATGAAAGATGGAAAAAAGATGATTTTACAAAAACCCAATTATGGAATCCACTCGTCTAATGATCCAAGATTTTAGGACACCGATAGGGCAGGGAATAAGGGTAAATTTAGCATCATTCATCAAGGATCTCGCAGGACATCACGCATCGTTTTATTTTACCTGAAATTCAGTCACATCACAAACACTAATCCTTCCATTGTAGAAGATTGTGAGATGTTGTTGGCGCATTGCCGGCTCAATATCCCTGTAATTAAATCCCAAAAAAGTGTAAAGAATGAAGGGAAAACATGCATAATAGCCCACGAATTGCTCAATCATGTTAATTACCACATGATTACAATGATATGCAATTATCATGACCATTAGATGGATATATAAAGATTATTAAAGAATGAAAATGAGGTAAGATAAGGAAACAGTTTAGAAGTCTTCTTCAGGATCTATGGATTAAAGTATAAGAACCACCCTTCTGATCTCCATTGCCTCTTCAGAAATGGTTCTTGACATGCTATAATTAAAAGGATTTTTAAAAGAATCCCACAAAATTCACCTCCTCCATGCAAAATGTGATGAACTTACATTAAGTTTTGATGGCAAGTAGTCGATGGCGAAGATGAAGAAGGCGCCATTGGAGAAAGGCAAAGATCCAAGTTGCTATCCCTCCTCATTGCAAGAAGATAATATATATGAAATCAAGACAAAGAAGTTAAGGTTGCTTGATACGTTACAAATTCAAAAAGAGCTGTGTTAAGCACTCAGAAGATGATCCGATACAGGAAGAAGAGATATTCGATCCAAATGGGTTCTTATAAAAAGAAAGGAGCATGCAAATTGCAAGCTAGCAAAGCGGGAGAGGTAAAAACCTTACAGGGCACGTGAAGAATGAGCTAATAAATCCACATGCGTGGACTAATTACATCAATGTCAGTTGTGGGGTTCTTACACTCTTCAAGAGATCCAAACGATCCCCCAACTCTTGGATATTTTCTTTAACTTCAAGAATGACTCATCACCATTATCGTGTAGCTTGCTATATATAGGACCACAATCCTTTTCTCTTCCTTTCAATGGGCTAAAAAAGCTCATGGAAGGAATGACTATAATATATTCTCTTCACAATCCTCGATTTTCGACTGTGCCTCGAAATTGAGTCTTAATTAGTTAACCAAGATGGCCTAGCCCTCGATGTTTAATGCATCAAGTCTATGATGTGGTGACGAAGCACATGGACCACTTACCAATTCACAATGGAAGCCACGATCCAAGTAGCTGATTTTCCCAAATCATGGCATCAGAAGCTGCCTAGGATGATGAATTAGGTGTAGCTTTCTTCCGTGAAAAGCATTTACACAATTGAATTAAGGCACATGAGCAATGTCGTCTAGCTAGGGCTTCATCACATGCCGCATGCCAACAATTGTAGTTGAAAAACTAGTGTGATGTTGGGTATTTGGTAGGATTTGCCAATGGCATATCAGTATCTGATATCTCTTCCTTCTCGACCGAGTCTCTCAAGGTAAAGATGTTGGTTACTGCATGAAAAACGTGGCATTTCCTGTGTTGGCAAACTGCGGATGTTATTTATGACATGAATGCCATGTTATTGCAAATCCTGACCTCCATCTTTTAAAGCACACGTTAGTCTGGTGGAAAGAAACCAGAGACGAAAGAAACATGCATTTAAATCTGATAATACTTTAAAAAGTTTTGTAGCTCTAAAATTCTTAGGCTGAAGTATTATCTTGAGGTTTAAATCTAATTAATGCAATCTGTAAATCTCTTGTAAATTCACTATTCCCAATGTGAACAATTAGGTTTAAAACCAAAAATTCAAAAGGATGAAGAATTCTTGTGTTTGAAGATTTATTTTAAAACCATGTTCAATGAACATATTTGAGGACAATTTCAAAGTGGATTACAGCTAAAAATTTGTTGAGAATTAATCTTCAATAGTAAGTTGTTTAACATAAGATAAAAATAATTAAAAAAAATAAAAAAATAAAAAAAATAATTTTAAATAAATTTTGGATTTTATATTTTTGGGAAACCAAAGTTTCCTTCATTCCACATAAAAAATACAAGATTATCTTGTAATTTATATAATAAAAAATTAAAGCATCATCATAAATAAACTAAACCAAGTCTAACTCATACATGCATATGCTCTCAACTTGGGTTTAAATATTGGCATAGAATCTAGTATCTTTCTTGCGAGTCCATTTATATATCTATATTGTTCTTGTATTGTTCTTTATTAATTGTTTTTTCAAATAAAAAATATATGTTTTTTAAGGCTAAAAATCTACGAAGTTTTTTTTTTTTTTAATGGTGGAAAATTAAGGTAAAACTATGTAATTTTGCAGCGTATCTCATTTTGTTAACTAAAAAAAATACAGATTGTTAACAAAAATTTTGTATATTAAAAATTTTATGTTCAAATTTTAATGAATAACTCCATGCCTGATGTGGGATATTACACTTGCATTTTTATTTCATTAAAAAAATTAATAAATGATAGTTTGATATGAAAGATAATAAATTGAATTTTAATAAAAAATTTAATTTTTTTAATATATTTTCAATTAAAAAATACTTTTAAAAAATATTTTATATCAAATTACCAAAAAAAAATCTAATTACAACAAATAATTTCAAGAACTGATACAACGAATAACTAATGACCACAGCAAATTTCTTAGGGTCCCGCCATGAGTTTTCATCGTACTATTCATGACTAGGAGAGAAAATAGAGCCACAGGAAATCCTTGGCATCACAAATATAAACATTAGAGCGACATACGAATCTAATCAAAACTTATCAGACTGGGGGAGTGACCTAATTTTGAAGCACCCAGTTGGCAAGAATACCTAATTGTTGAAATAATAATAATAATTTATTTTGATAAAATAGAAATTATCTTTACCTTATCTCCGTTTCGAATGTTATATTTTTCACCGAACAATTAATTAGATATAAAGCTAAAAGAGCTCATGTTTCACTTTGCACACATGAAAATACTTTTTTGCTTTTGGGTGGTAAATTATTTTGGAAATTATCAATTTTTTTTTAGTTTTTTTTTGTGAGAAAGAGAGACGAGGTTGTTGGATTTCAACATAGAAAAAAAAAATAACAATGTTAAAGAGAGAAAATGTGGACAAAAGTCTGTTGGGAAAGTCGGATTGATGATATATTAATGATTGTTTATTGGAGATTAAATATACTGACACAATATTTAACATGGTTCGACAAATCATTTATATCCATGGAAAAGTCAATATTATTATAGATAGAAAAATGATACAAAACACATGCATGGAGAAGGAGAATTACACCCCCTCAAACTCAATTCCTAACTCACACACACTGCAGAAATGACAATAGAGTTGTTGCCCTTGGTAACCCTCTTTTTCTTTTTTATTCTCTTACACACACCATTCTTTCTAATTTTACTCTCAAATAATACCTCTATTTATAAACATTAATGATATAATAAGATTCACAAATTATAACATGATTTATGGCACTAGTGGTGTTAGCACATAAGTTGTATTATTTTGTCAATGGTTGGTGCAACTTGGCCACACACCTACCATTATAGGCTTTGATAATGATAATCTTGTTTCTTAGGGTAAGCTGCAAAGGTATTATAATTGCTGCATATTAATGATAATAATCCTAACAAGGTCCAATAGGCTCAATATTCATGAATTCAGACAAGTTTACAAGATAGGATATATTAAAATAGTTGGTATCAACAAGTTGATGGCGAACTAGCAAAAAAAAAAAACATAGTTTGAAATACATAAGAGAAAGTAAAGTATGGTAAAGCATGAAAATCTGAATTAAAATTTGCCTAAATAAAAAAAGAGAAATAATGATTGTCGGATTCAATGTATATATTGATCATTCATGTATAACTAAACATGTGGGTAATAGTTTAGATGATAAATCCTATTTCTAGATGATAAATATGAATTTGAATGCTTTTGAAAAATTAATGGAATTAAAGTTAATTTTAGTTTTGTTAATGTTTATAGTGTTATAATGAAGAGTTGATTGTTGGATTGATGAGGAAATTATAGTTAATTGAAAAGAAAAACATGTTAAGATAACAAAATTTTCACATAGACAAAAAAAGAAATGAAAAGAAATAGAAGGAATTTATGCTAAACAAAGAAATAAGAAAAGCTCATGTATTTATTTTGTTCTTGTTATTTTTACTAACACTATTATATTTATTTATGTTAAATTATGATTAGAAGCTTGTTTATGTTATTTAGTCAAAGCTAAAAGATTTTCTTAATTTTCTAATAATATTAACAACATTCTAACAATTTTATTCTTTAATCTCTGAACATGTGGCAGGACTAGGTTCTCTGATATCTTTACAAAACATATCCCAATCTAAAAGGACACATTCAATCAATTAAAGAAAATAGGAGGGATGAGTTTGTTTGAATAAATTGATATTTGAAGAGGGTATAATTGTAATGAATTTAATCATGGGATGATTAATAGATAACTAGGTTTGAAGGATTTTAAGTAGAAAAAATATTTTTTTTTTGGTATTTTTAGTCAAAAAGATAAATGAATAATATTATAATCATAATCAATTATGTGGATTTATTTACAAAGAATAAAATTAATACAAGGACACGAGACTTTTAATGTTGAGTTGTTAAAATTACAAGAGAAATTGCTAAGGAGTAGATACTCATATCTACCTTATTAATTATTAATTTTGAGTTATTTAAAATTGTTAAATCACGAAGTGGATTCTTATTATTCAATTTTTTAATATTTGATATGAAATTGTTGCATTGAATGATTAGTTCTTGGTTTAAACTAATACCTTATTTTAAGTTGCACGAGGAGTTCTTAGTTCTTGGTTGAAGAACTAATGCCTTATTCTGATCAGTTTTTAATTTAAGAGCAAATACTCTATGTATTTACTGGATAATTAATTAGTTATTGGTCTGCAAACTAATACCCTGTAATGAGATAAAGTTGAAATCCTTGTACGAGAGTTGATGGAAGCTAAACAACAAAGCCATGGAGTTGAAAATATTAGCAGAGGAAGCCACTGGTCCAAGTCTAAATAATCCAATTTTGATTTCTTTTTAAAAAAATATTTTCCCAAAAAGTCTAAATATAGTGAAAAAACTAAAAATCTAAAAAATATATTTTTAATGGATGCCATGGTTGTCATAATTTGCAATGTCTTTTTTAAAAAATTTAAATTTAAAATTTACTTTCAACATGCTCAATTATTAATATATTTATTTTAAAATTATTGATTAATTTTTTTCATTATGTCAACACTAATATTGTCTTTAAAAAAAATATATATGAAAGATAGTACAAAGGGACCAAAGCAGCAATACAAAAAAGGAAAGACAAAAGGAAAAATATTTTTTTACATATTATTGTATATTTCAAAATAAAAAAAATTTAAAAAATAATTTTACATGTATAGATTTTACAACAAGTTTGTAAAGATATATTAGTCTAAATTTTAAGAACACTTAAAAACACAATTTGCTTAGTTTTAATATGAGGATTTACAAGCTTAAACTTAAGATATATTTCTAATATTAACAAAAAAAAAGCAAATTAAACCCATAATAAATAGAATAATCCCTACTCTTTCCTCATTTACTTTTAATATTTAAAAATTATAAATTTATACCTATGATTGTATCCCTAGTATTAAGAAAAACAAAAATATAAAATATAAAAAATTAAATTTTAATTTTGTAATTTGGATTTAACCTATAAAGTTATGGTTCACTTTATTATGATAAATCTGTTTAATTTTAACCAATAAATAGATAAATAATTATAAAAACACAAAAGAGTTTTAAGAATAATTAGACAAATGAATAGTAAAACTTACTTTAGATAGAAAGTGGTTTATTATTTTTTTTATATAATTAATCTATTTATACATACTCTGAAAATAAATTTGACTTTTCAATAATCAAAATACTATACAGTATACAGTGAATA